CATTCTTCTTGGATCAACTATCAACACTCACGGAAGCAGCAGTCAAGAAATTAAACAATGTATTGCATTAGGCAAATCTGCTGCACAAGACCTTTTTAAAGTGTTGAGGAGCAAAGATGTCAGCTTGAGGACTAAGGGGCGTCTGACCCAAGCCATGGTATTTTCAATAACCTCATATACATTTGAAAGTGGGATAATGAATAAGTAATTGATGCTTTTGAGTTATGGTGTTGGAGGAGACTATTGAAAGTGCCATAGGCTGCCGTAAGAACCAATAGATCCGTTTTAGAAGTGCAGCCAGAGTGCTCCTTAGACGCCAAGATGGCCAAACTTCGTCTCTCATACTTCAGACGTTTTGTCAGGAGGGAGCAGTCGCTGGAGAAGGATATCATGTTTGGTAAGGTGGAGGGTCAGAGAAAAAGAGGAAGACCCCCAAGGAGGTGTATTGGCCAAGTGGCAGCATCAATGGACTCAAACATGGCAACAGTAGTGAGGTTGGCCCAGGATCGGGCAGTGTTTCGTTCTGCTGTACATAAGGTCACTATGGGTCGGTACCAACTCGATGGCACCTACCTAACAACAAAAAAAAGTTGGTTTTGACTCACAGCAACCCTGTATAGGATTTCCAAGTAGTGGCTGATAAGTTTGAACCACCCCCCTTGCTGTTCAAACTGATCTTGCAATCTAGTGCTTATTGTAAGTGGTGATAAATAAGATCTCCAAGTAAAACATTATAAGGTAGTACAGTAATACTGTACAAGCACAGGGCTGCTAACTTCAAGGACAGTGGTTCAAACCCAACAGCCGCTCCTCAGAAACCCTATACAGGGTCGCTATGGGTTGGAACCAACTCGGATGACACTCACAACAACATATGATCCTTTTTTTTTGCATCTAGAAGGTTCTAGATCAGGATTTGAAAATCTGTTTTCTGCCCAAAATTATAGCATGTTTCAGAATTATTAACTTTAAAAAAGTTTAGTCATTTAATTTACTCAGCCCTAGTGTGATGGCTGGAATGGCAGTTGCCTTGGTAGGGCCAGACTGAAAAATTTTGCTGGTCTCATACGGTCCACAGGCTGGACATTTTCCAGCCCTGTTCTAGATGAATTCCTAAACCAGTATGAATTATGGCTACTTCTGGAGACTTTGGGAATGGAAATTGTAGAGATCCTGGAAGGTGATTTTTTACCTTCCCATTATATACCTTTCTATGATGCTTGAACTTTTTCTATGTATAGCTATTTTTAGTATAAATAAATCAGTAGTTATTTTAGGATAATAAATTATTTTAAGACAATAAATCATTCTTCTAGCTGTCATTTAGTTGCCCCCTACTTGTGGCAACCACATGCACAGTGGAATGAGTGGTGCTTGGTCTTGTACTGTTCCCATGGTTGGTTGCAGATCAGACCATAGTGGTCCATCGATTTTCACAGTTGGATTTTCAGAAGTAGCTTTCCAGGCCTTGTTTCCTCGTCAATCTTAGCTTGGAAGCTCCCCTGAAATGTGTTCAGCATCATAGCAACGAAGGCCTCCAGTGAGAGAAGTAGATTGCCTGGCCTTTCTTCCTAGTCTCTCTCAGTCTGGATGTTCCACTGAAATCCTGTTCAGCATCAACAGGAACACACGAGCCTCCACTGGTTGAAAAGTGGTGGCTGGCCATGAGGTGTCTTAGATGGAAATCAAACCCTGATCACCCACGTAGAAGGTGAATATTCTCCAAAATCGCCACTGCTCCTGTTTTCCATTGAGATTACCTTAATTCTACTCAATTTTGTTCTTTCCCCTCAGCGACAAGAAGTATGCATGAACAAGAAAGATGTTCACTTTCTGAGTAAAAAAATATATTCCCTACTACCAGTTTCTGGTCCATCTAGTGTCCATGGGTACATCCGGCAAAACTCTTAAGTCCGCAGCCCTCGTGGTGCTTTGCCTGATGCTGTCCAGTTAGTAGGACCATTCCTCTACTTACTTCATTCCCTAAGGGTGAAGGAGAGGTTCCCCTTTCAATGTTTGATAAGGAACAAGATATGTGAGTATTTGCTTTGCCTCAGCCTCTCTGATGGTTTTGTGTTTTCAGAACAGCATGATGCCGACAGACCTGGCTTGGGAGGACATGTTGTACCCTCTGTACCAGAAGTACAAGAATGCCATCACATGGGGAGACCAAGATTTATTAAATATTATTTTTTATTTCAATCCAGGTAGGTTCTCTTATAAGAATGCTGTTTGTGTGTGATCACTCTCACCTCAACACTGTGTTCGAGGCTTGTCTGTGCTAGTGACTAGGCTGGAGTGGTGCTCAGGGCAGTCTGTGTTCCGCCCCCCACCCCCAACCTGGGTATCTGATGGAGGCGTGTCCACACGCTGCTGACACCAAAGGCCAAACGTTGAAACCACCAACATTGGGCTCCAGTTTTAGAGAATTGTTTCTTAATTTTTTTGCACAGATGTTCTAGAAGTATCAGAATTTGAGGCACAGAACTACAGGAAAAGATTATAGTCTAGTCATCAGGCCCCTCTGCAGCCTTAAAAGTTACTGGATTGAAGAATTTTCAGGACCTTTAGTGTTAAGTGATTCATTGGGGTTAAAAGAACCTATGGATTCAATTCTAATTCAAAGTAGTCCTAAAAGGCACAGTAGAACTGCCCCTATAGGGTTTCCAATTTCCAAAGCTGTAATGTTTATGGGATCAGGCTCTCAAGTCTTCTCTCCCACAGAACCGTTGCTAACCACTGACCTTTTGATTATCAGCTGAGCACTTAACTACAGTACAACCAGGGCTCCTTAAACTAAAGACTCTCTTGTTGTTGTTGCTGTGTATGCTGTCGAGTCAGTTCCAATTCATAGAAACCCTGTGTAGAGTTTCTGAGGAGTTGCTGATAGGTTTGAACCGCTGACATGGGTAGAAGTCTAGTGATTATCCTATAGTGCCACACCAGACCATAAAAACCCAAATCCCATTTTCTTTTAATCTAGAGCAAAAGAAATTCTGCTTTTACTGTTAAGTCAATGATTTGGTGGTGAGGGTAAGGGTGAGGGAGATGGAAAGTTCTGGTCTCCTTTTTTCAGTCTCATCTCAATGATTACAATCCACTCCATGCACCATCAGTTAACAGTATTTACCTCTGTTCCTTTTAAATCTAGCATTCCTCCCTGTGTCCTCCCCTACCTTCACCTTTCTTCTGCCAACCACCCTCTTGTAGTGAGTGTATTGCCTTTCCCTTCACCAGAGGTATCACGTGTCTACCCTCTAGCCAGTGAGTAACTCTCCCTTCCCTCCCACCCATGGTAACCATTATAAATGTTTTGTGTTTTTTTTTGCATGAAAACCTTTGCTTGACTTTTTACAATAGTGTTGTTGTTATGTGCCATCAAGTCAGTTCCAACCCATAGCGACCTTGCATAAGGTTTCTGAAGAGCAGCTGGTGAGCTTGAGCCACTGACCTTGCGGTTCAAATCGTCTTTGTAATCCAGTGCATTAACCCACAGCACCACACCAGGACTGTTTTACAATAGTCTCATACATGTTCGTTTGTTATGATTAATTTCACTCAGCACAGTGCCCTCCGGGTTGACCCAACTTTTGAGGTATTTTGCAGATTCATCATTATTCTTCAACATTGTATATATTCCATTGTGTATATGTGCCAAAGTTTGTTTAGCAATTCTACTGTTGATGGCATTTCGGCTGTCTCCATCATTTTACTATTATGACGAGTGATGCAGTGAACACAGGTGTGCGTATATATATTCGTGTTACAGTTCTTATTTCTTAAGGATGTATATGAACCAGAAGGACTGCTGGACCATATGGTATTTCTGTTTTCAAATTTTGAAGAATGCATCAAACCATTTTCCACCATGGTTTTACCATTTTACAGTCCCATCAGAGTGTAGGAGGGTCCCAGTCTCTCCTCACTCTTGGTAGCATTTGTTGTTTTCTGTTTTTTTGAACTTTGCTATTAATGCTAGGGCAAGATGTATCTCATTGTTTATATTTTCATCTCTCTAATAACTAATGTTCTAGTTTAAGTTTTTATATTGATACCTAAGACTATTACAATTTTCTTTTTTTTCCCCCCTGCTAAAATCTTATTTGCTGTCATACAAATCAATGCTATGTTCTCTCCTTGAAAAACATCTTCATCCCACACTCACTAACTCACTACCATTGAATCAATTTTAACTTATAGTGGTCCTAGATAAGGTTTTTGAGGATATAAATCTTTATAGGAGCAGAAAAACTCATCTTTCTCCCATGGAACAGCTGGTGGATTTGAACTGCTAACCTTGAAATTAGCAATCCAGGGCTTATCCTTCATCTAACAATATTGTTTAAAACTCCTGATGACCATGAAGAGGATTGCCTGATGAACAATCGGAATCCCAGAACAGGAAGAGACAATAAAAAGCATACGGCAAATTGCTGAAGAGTTGTCGGAAGGAAAGTTCCCTAACATGGTGAATTCCCCCTAACAAGATAAGCATACAAGAAGCTTAAGTAACCCCAAACAGGACAAACCCTAAAAGAAAATCACCAAGCCATATCATGATCAAACTTTCCGAAACCAAAGATAAGGAAAGAATCCTGAGAGCAGCTCAGCAAAACTGAAAAGTTACCTACAAAGGATACTCAGTAAGACTAAACTCTGGTTTTCCAGCAGAAACCATGCAGACAAGGAGGCAATGGGATGATATATACAAAGCCAGGAAGCATATATTCAACAAATGTGTACCTCACATATTGTCAGGTGCCCTTGAATTGGTACCAACTCATAGTGACCCTACGTACAACAGAATGAAACACTGCCAGGTCTGGGACCAACCTCATTAATAATGCTGCTACGCCTGAGCCCATTGCTGCCATCACTGTGCCAATCCATGTCATTGAAAAACCGAACAACACATTCAATGAACTTGACTTCATATATATACAGAGCACTCAACCCAACAATAACATACTATATATTCTTTTCTATCCAGTCCACATGGAACATTCTCCAAAATAGACCATATGCTAGGCCACAAAGCAAATCTCAATAAATTTGAATGCATCAAACTATTACAAAATATTTTCTTAGATCACAATGCTATAAAATTAAAAATCAACAATAGTAACATCAAGAAAAAGGAGTCCTGATAGCACAGTGTGTTATGAGTTGGGCTGCTAACTGGAAGGTCAGCAGTTCGAATCTACCAGACACTTCACAGGAAAACGTGAAGCTTTCTGCTCCCATAAAGATTTACAGCCCCAGAAACCCTGTGGTTGGGCCTGACTCCATGACATACCACCACCACTGCCTGCCACCACCAAGATCAAGAAAAAAAATCAGATATATGAAAATTGAATAACACCCTGTTTAAAAGCTACTGGATAATAAAAGAAATATAAAATGAAATGTAAGTATTCCTAGAATCAAATGAAAATATCAACACTAGCCAAAGCAATCTAAAGATATAATGCAATCCCAATCAAGAGTGAAACATCATTATTTAAAGAGATGGAAAAACGAATCACTACCTATATATGGAAAGGAAAGAGACCCTGGATAAGCAAAGTATTAACAAAAAAGAAGACAGTAGGGACCCTCTGACTACCCGATTTCAAAACCTACTTCACATTCACAGTATTCCAATCTGATACTGGGACCATGAAAGACACATAGATAATGGAACAGAATTAAGAATCCAGAAATAAATCTATCCACAGATGGTCTGTTGATCTTTGACAAAGGGCTAGAATGTATTAGAAGGGGACGAGATAGTTTCTTTAACAAACAGTGCTGGTAAAATTGGAAATTCATTTGCAGAAGAATGAAACAAGACTCATCTTTCATGTCATATACAAAAATGAAATCAACATGGATTAAAGATGTAAAATGTAAAATACAGCATTTTAAAGACGGTCAATTAAAATATAGGAACAAACTATGGCATAAATGTACTATCAAAAATACATAAACAGAAGGCAAAGTAAATAACTGGGCTCTCTTAAATTTTTTGATACTTATGTGCTGCAAAAGATTTCATCAAAAGACAACTCACAAGAGACATCAGGTAGGCTGTGTGGTCACCTTGTACCTTCGATATTCAAGGTAAGCCGAAATGGGTGCTTACAAGTACATCCAGGAAGAAGCAGTTCTATATGATGCACTTTCTCCTTCAGGTCTGCTGTTAGCAGTACCACCAACTCTCTGCACTGCACAGGCCCTCCTCACCCCCACCCAGGTAAGGTGCACAGACTGGGATACAAAACCACGCAAGTTTATGTCGTCTCTCAGATTCGTCTGTGAATACCAAACACTGTTGAAGTTATCCTCAGTGATCTATTCCATAAAGCTACCAGAAGAAATTCTGACACCCAGTGGATCACCAAGCCAGTCGACAAGCCCAGGGAGATTCGTGGTTTAACATCTGCGAGCCACCAGAGCTGTGGCCTGGGTCACTTAGAGAAGACGCAACACTCTCCAGCTCCACCATTAATGCTAGTACAAGTAATGTCTGTAAAATTCATGCTGAATAAACTGCTTAGGACAGTCATGTCTTAAAAAATAGGAACGAAAGAGAGAACCGACAGACTGGGGAAAATATTTTGGCAATAATATATCAGACAGGGGACTGCTACCTAAAATTTTACACTTCAGCACTTCAACAAGATAAATAATCCAATTTTAAAAATGGGCAGAGGCTACCATTATAAAATAGATACTTGAAGGGGAGAGAAAGGAATGGACAGAGATATCACCATAGAAAGCTTGTAAGTCCGTCTTCTGCCTGTAACTGATTGGAATACTAAAAATGGGGCTACAACGTGCCAAGTAAAGGAGGCTTCCTGCAGAGCCTCTACGTTACAACATAAGACCATAGGTGGAATCCTGAACCCCATCCAGAATCTTCTGAGGTGGGAGTTTCCATTTGAAACGACAAGCAGACCAGCCTGGAGCAGCTAGAAGAACAGAAGATACTTCTTGAAAGAAAGACCAGCAGGAAAAATCAAAACAATAGCAGCAGTCCAACTGATTTGTTCAGTCCTACAAGAACAAGCAAATGATTACTACAAGAACAAGCAAATGATTACTACAAGAACAAGCAAATGATTACTACAAGAACAAGCAAATCGCTCGCCCACGAGACACCAAGGCAAGTGGTTGGTTCCCCTCAGGGCAAACTTCCTTCTAAGACTAAAATTCAGTGGGAATA